AGTAAAAAAAACTTTTTTAAAACAAACTTTTATTTAAGCTGAGATTTACCTGTGTAGATAAACAGGATCTAATTGATTTTAATTTTAAAATTTTCAAACTAAGTAAATTCGAGCAAATAGAAATGAGTTGAAACTTAAATCTCGCGACAAGCTTTTACGAGTATATCATATAAATTGTATAATGACGTTATAACTTGATAGTAAAAGTTTTAAAGTAAAAGTTTATTTTATTCTTTTTAGCGCATTTAAATAAAAGCTTGTTTTTAAAAAGTTTTTTTTTATTTACTTATACATAATTTTGATAATATTGTATGTTACTGGGAGCTACTAACTTACGTAAGTTAATTTTTGAAGTGGAAACTTCTTTAGCATCGTTGTGATTTGAAACTTAATGAAACGAAAAAGCGACACTAAAAAGAGACAAATATATATAAATCTTTAGGATAGATCTACGAGAGAATGAGATAGAATATATAATACTTACTATATCTATATTATAATCTAATATAATGAATTGGAAGAGGTTTTTTTTGTTCAAACACGTTAATCTCTGGAACTACCAGTCCGATTTGATAAACTCTCTTTGTATATGATAGCCAGATTCACGGAAAATAGTTTAGTCTATCTAGCATTAGACTACAACTCTCAGCTAGCCTCAAATACTGATTATATTAAATTAAATAATCGTGTTTAGGCCATCTAGTATCTATTTTACTGACCACCTTAAAAGTCAATCAATTTTTGTTCTGTAAAATGATTACCTATAGAATAAAGTAGACGTCGCTATAACAAAGCAATTTTAGTCGAAAGAAAATATTCTTAAATTCACTAAAATTTAGGCTAGTATTAACGATATGAATGACAAGCTTCTGGAAACTGTCCATGTGGTCGGTGCTAATTTCTGTAAGGTCTGTCGCAGAAGAACACAAAAACTTTCTGATCACAATCTCAATTTCGTGGCTGTTAGACGGGAGATAAAGCTGCAGTCTTCAGAAGATTTGACAGCATACAGGCAACTGAACAGGCAGATCTCCAAATGCATGGGTGCGACTTGCGCGACTTTAGCGACTTCAATACGGCTCGTTAAGCATAGATGTAGATGTCTATAGGCCACAGCATCCACTTACCATCTGGACTGTGTGTTCGTTTGTCACTCGTTTTCTATAAAAGAAAACTGCACACATGTTTTTAGGCCATTCGTGTGTTTTTTAAAGTTTTTTTTTACAATTTTTTTTTTCACAGCACAAAAACTTCGCATGGGGCCGACCTATAGATGTAGATATCTGGCTATCTGTCGAAATAAATAAATTTTTTTTTTTAAATGACCTGTCTTCGACCTTATATCACTGTCCCAAATTTGACTGACTTTAGCATATATAGCCTTTTCTTCCTACACATTGTATGAAATCCAATCAAGAATAAATAATTAAATGAATAAATAAATAAGTAAATTAATAAGTACAATGTATTAATTTAGAAATACTTATTTTGTGTCCAAGTGTATAGCGTTCAAACTACTAAAACAAACACTTGACGTATTTGTATTTAATTAAGCGATTTATTGCTTATATACTTAGAGGTTGTTAGCCAGACAAACGTTTAATGAATAAATGATTATTCAATTAAAAAATAACCTGAGGGCTAATATGAAATAACTTGCAGCCTTCAAACTGGAACCCAGCAGTGAACCGACGCTTATATTCATTCATTCGTTCATTTATTGAGCAATTAATCAAAAGTCCACTGCTGAAAATAGGTCTTTCCCATAGACTTCCTCACATACATATACTATAGTATTATATTTGTTAATGAGTTGGTATTAGGAGGATACTGCTGCCCATCTTTTGTTTTATTTCCCTCCGTCGCTTCGGGATGATATGATATGCAAGTTTTATTTTTTATAGGATAGGGTTGCAAACGAGCACACATTCCACCTGATGGTAAGTGGTTGCTGTGGCCCATAGACATCTACATTTATCCTCGTTTGCGAATCAAAATGCAGATTCGTTGTCAGCCGTAAAGACTAAGATGGAATGCCTCTTTTCCAGTAAAAGGGGTCTCCGGTTCTCTACACTCACCATACGAAACACAGCGGTGTTAAGCTGCTATTTTACGCTGGTATTCTGTGAGAGCGTGGTCCTTCCCCGGTCGAGCCGACCCATTCGTGCTATAACTATACTACTAATATAGCTGCAGCATGGCTCTACCACGTATAGAATAGTAGTGAATCACGCCGCCACTACATCGTTGCTATGGCCTAGCTCTGGTGTTAGATCATTAGGGATGGTACTACCCCATCCCAGACGTTCTTTAATTATGAATAGGACCACTACTAAATTCAACATACATTCATATTAAAAAAAATTACACTTTTGACTACAAAATTGCAGCTATAATTTTTAGTTTGCTGTTGTGTAAAATAAATTAAATATTTACAGTAATGCCAACTATCTTCGATGCTGATAAAAGATTGCCTTTAAAGCTTAAGTACTTGTACGGATCAAAATGCAACAGTTTAATAACTACCATAATCATTTTACCTCTCGTATAAAATAGATTTTCATTAAATCGTAATAAAGTGGTAGCACTGTTGTACCAGTGTTATAAAATATTAACTGTATAGTGGCGTCGTAAGAATATCCACTACCCTACATCATCCCGTGGGTTGTAAGGGGCAACAGAATAAAACTGTACCAGTAGATGGTCAGCACCATCTTCCCGATATCATCTAAATGAATATAACAAATTAAGGTTACCAATCCGCTTGCCAAGCGACTGAAGCAAATACCCCCCCCCCCCCCTATGAGGCAATATATGGAGGAGGTTTATGTTCAGCAGTGGACTATTAATAGACTGTAATGATAATGGTAGTAGGTAAAATTTGATTTCTTTGGGATTTCATCTAAATTCCACAAAAAAAATCCTACGTTTATTTTTCATTTCTGTAGTAAGTGTACTCTATCCTTGTCCACTTAAAAGTCAATCAGTAAGAGGCTTCACTACATATCAGGGGCGTGGACCAAATGTAGGTCGTTTGCCACTTCACTTGTTGCTCCCCTTTGTAACCAAACGGAAAAATTTCGAGCCGGGCCTCAATTATCTAAACATATTACGTAGAACGTATTTATTCTTTGTTACATGAAAATCTGTACTTTAAATCTGATTTACAAATTCTATTGCTGCGAGGAAAATTCGACTACTGACGCTCGGGCATTTTCGTTTTCAAGCGTGTTATTACTTGTAAGACGCAAATTTCAGGAGTTTCCCTTTACAGAAATATATTCCTTCAAGGTTCCTTTCTAGTTTATTGTTGACATTTTTATTTTCTTACTATTTAAGTCGTCGAGTCTTACGTGGTAGAGCCATGCTGCAGTTATATTAGTAGTATAGTTGTAGCACGAATGGGTCGGCTCGACCGGGGAAGGACCACGCTCTCACAAAATACCAGCGTAAAATAGCAGCTTAATGCTGCTGTGTTTCGTATGGTCAGTGTAGAGAACCGGAGACCCATTTTACTGGAGAAGAGGTATTCTATCTTAGTCCTCACCGCTGACAACGCATCTGCATTTTAATTCACAAACGAAGATAAATGTAGATAACTATGGGCCACAGCAACCACTTACCATCAGGTGGACTGTGTGCTCGTTTGTCATCCTAATACTATAAAAAAAAACCTATATTTGTAATGGCGGATATTGAGATTGCTTTTAGCGCGAATTGATGGCCCAAATCACTGGTTTTGTTAAAGGGTATATCGCTTAAAAATGTTCTATTTGCGCATTCTGTGAGCAATCCCGAAAGACGATACATTTTTAACGATTCAGGTGAACCCGTTTTATGTACGTCATTTATGTTCACGATTTATCGCATATTTTGAATAGTTGATTGAGATGTTACTATTAAACGGTACTATGTTTGGTGAAAAAGACCTTTAAGATATATAGCATCTTACCGCTCTAGCTAAATTTTACAACTGTTCAATATTTCTTAATGTTTTTATACTAATACAAGCAAGTACTAGATTACCACTTGATGGTAATTATAAAGTTTAACAAAATCCTAAAAAATCTTGCATTGAAGACACCCACATTATAATCAGATGGAATGGCAGATGCTGGCAAATTATTCCAAGCCTATGCTGTGAGCATTATGAACAGCGAAGCATAATCACCATAATAATCAAAAAGTCAAAGTTCACTCCTGAACATAGGCATCCCCATAGTTATTATGGGTATTTGCCATAGATGTCACGTTTTGCAAGCGGATTACACAGTTCCCGAATTTTTTTATTATTTTGCGTTATTAACAGGAAGAAACAGAAATGACGGCAGCATGCCGTCCATTTCCTGTTTCGGTTTCTCTCTGTCGCTTCTTACGACACCCACGCAATGATTCTCTTACACTGTCACTGCACGCCGAAATCGATTAAATATTTAATAAAAGTATATTCAACCATACCAGGCAACGCATAAAAAAAATAAACTTAGGAGAGAATTATTACGTAATTACGTGAAACTATAAATTAATTTCTTTTGTAATTTATTTATTTTTTCAATATATAAGTTTCTGGACACGCACATGATAACGTAGGACTAGAATCCGTAAAATTTAGATCTCACAAAAGGTTTTTAATAGCTCCGTCGTTGCTTATCGAGAACAAATCATTACTTATCAAATTATTAAATTACTTTATCAATTCAACTAAAATTGTAAGGCATAGTAAATATCCTTAATTGTAACATAATAAATAAAATATTTCCTAATTATTTAAACTAGATAAAAGTTAAAAAAGTTATAAAAGTTAGTAATATACAGCCATAAAATATCCACCCATTTCGAACATCATTAATATTTAATGCAACTCTTGCGCGTAATCACTTATTCTTTTTCCTTGCGAAATTATTGAAGACCGAGAAAACTTTTACCCTACAGCTTAATAAATACAAGAGAAGTTAAAATTATAACACAGAACACCATTTACTTTAAGTTTCAATAACGACCTGTTGAAATCGAGCGTCGAGTTGCTGCGTCCTGCTCTGACTCCTACTTAATCGTATACAGGTCTTGCTCAACCAGCAACAGGGTAAGTGCAAAGCGTCCGCGCGGGCCGGCACTTCGGTACTCACTGGCCGCGCGCCCTCCGATCTATAAGCGTGACGCTTCGCCCGCCCACAGCGTACGGGTCCTGAATAAGTAGGACGGTAAATACAGCGGTCACCTGCTACGCGTACATCAATCTTTATTCCCTATTTTTAAAAGTACTCATCGTATGAATTCAGGTTATAGGAGTCCATTAAAATTAGCCTTCACAAACTGAAAGCAAAGTTTTCGCACATTAATCGCGAACATTCGAAAACAACATCTTTTTAACATTAATTTATTATTATGCTAAGGTTTTATGATATATCGTAATTTTTAAAGGAGAGTAATAATAACCTTTGGTAATATCATTTTAGAAACACGTTAAAATTTTAAGAAAGGATGAAATAAATGAAGAATTTTATAAAGTATTTCAAAAGCTAAAAAGAAACTAACTATAAATTATATTTCACATGTATGAAATATGGATATATTTCCTTTCTGTATTAGCAGGTTTCCTAACGATTTTTTTCTTCGCCGTCTTCTTTTGCTGTTAGACATGGAGCACTCCCATTATAGGGAGCTCTTAATCGTTTCTCTTAGCAGTTAGATTGCAGAATTCAGTACCAGAAGTCTCTCGCCTTTCTCACCCAACACTTAACGTCACCGGTCTTGGTTATTTAAGTTCTGGAGTAAACCAGATGGTTGTGTTGTACCGCTATCTTTCGGACGAGCACGAAAGGGTCGGTTCTACTGTAGTAGAATTGCCGTTGTGTTTCGTATGGTGAGTGTAGAGACCCGGTGCCCTTTTTACTGGAAATGAGCCATTCTGAATAAAGCATCTGATTTTGATTCTTAATCGAGGATAAATTAAGATTTCTATAGGCCACAGCTTGCACTTACTATAAGTAAGTGAGTGAGTGGACTATGTACTCGCCTGACACATTGATTCTATAAAAAAAAACTAAGAACAGATAGAGAGCTAAGCCAGGTGCTATATTTTACAGGTGTTTTATTTTAAAGATATATTTTACCCAAAAAACTTTAAGATTTTTTTAAATAACGAAAAATGTATAAAATTGTTTTTATACGTGGTAGAGCCATGCTGCAGTTATATTAGTAGTATAGTTGTAGCACGAATAGGTCGGCTCGACCGGGAAAGGACCACGCTCTCACAAAATACCAGCGTAAAATAGTAGCTTAATGCTGCTGTATTTCGTATGGTGAATGTAGAGAACCGGAGACCCTTTTACTGGAAACGAGGCATTTCACCTTAGTCCTCACGGGTGACAACGCATCTGCATTTTGATTCGTAATCGAGGATAGATATAGATGTCTATTGGCCACAGCAAACACTTACCATCAGGTGGATTGTGTGCTCGTGTGTCACCCTATCCTATAAAATAAAATTATCTTAAACCTATATAACGCCACAATTATAAATTATATCCTGGCGCGGCCACGACGGGTCGCTAGTTGAAAATAAATAACATAATATAAATTATTCAATGGCATTTTTTCTCCATTATCCCGCTGTTTGGGTTGAGGTCATTAAATATATTATCTACTTTTTGCCGTCACAACTGGATAATTTAAAAGTCATGCTGTGGGTTTGCTCGTTTGAGACTTATCGCGCATTTTGATTATAATCTCGTGTAAACTCAACAGCAAAAGCATTACGATAAGAAACAATTTTGTTTTTAAAAAGGTGTGAAGGTACGGTCTATCTTCATTATCAACTTTCCCTGTGGTGGTCAATTATATGTTCAATTATTCTATTTAAAATAGCGACGGAATTGTTTTGAATTAAAACTAAATCAAGTGTTCTTTAAGTATGTAATAAAGCGTCTAGGTTAATATAACATTCCGGACATTTCCGCAACAACACAACCTGCCAGTTACTTGAGAAATCGGACATTAAAGTGGATAGTGATGAATAAAAAGTTAAAGTGTAACTAAATTCATCTTGAAACCATATCATAGTTATCAGCGGCATTAAACGTAAATTTCTCCAGCGATAGACTTTTACGGATTGATGATATAGAAGAAGGATAAAATACCATGGTCGATTCCCACCTACAATACCGAAATACTCGTATTTGGAAAGTCGAGAAGTGTTTCTCGTCGTAATAAAATCTATATATTATGTAAATAAACTAAAACGTTTTTAATGACACGTGAAGTTTAATAGATCGCAATAAAACAGGTCAGCGTACTCGTTCCTGCGTCATAACCACTAAAAACCACTTTTAAAAAAGTGAATACCCAGACATTCTAATCGATAGTTTTTATGTTTTAATGAAATAGGAATATAAGGAAAGTTGGTCACGCAAGTAGATGGCTTTGTGTATTTGGGATGTGGTATTTAACAGGGATTGTAGATATGATAAGGATATAGAACGACGAGTGGACGCAGAAATTTTTTTTTATAGGATAGGGTGACAAACGAGCACACAGTACACCTGATGGTAAGTGCTTGCTGTGACCCATAGACATCTACATTTATCCTCAATAAAGAATCAAAATGCAGATGCATCGTCACCCGTGAGGACTAAGATGGAAAGCCTCTTTTCCAGTAAAAAGGGTCTCCGGTTCTCTACACTCACCATACGAAACACAGCAACGTTAAGCTGCTATTTTACGCTGGTATTCTGTGAGAGCGTGGTCCTTCCCCGGTCGAGCCGACCCAATCGTTGCTACAACTATACTACATATAGTGCTATAGCTGCAGCATGGCTCTACCATGTATAATAATATATAATAAATAAAATAATAGAGTGAATGGGGCTCTACCTCTAATGTGGAAAGTCAGAATGTGTTCAAAAAGGCACGTAGGTATGGCAATTTATAAGTCTGTGTTAGTCTCTACTTATGATATAGTGTATGTAAGTGTAAGTTGGGTTTTTTTTAAAGACGTTACCTCAACACTAGGACTTTCTCCTGTATCGTGGGGGCAGTTTACATACATAAATTTCACAAGGACAAACATCCAGACCCGGAACAATTATTTGTAGACCATACAAATACTAATCCCGTGCGGGATTCGAACCCGCAGCCCTTAGCGCAGCAACTCATTGCTAAGCCACTGCGCCACGGAGCCGTCTGGGTTTGACAGAAGAAGCACAAGAGTAGAATGAATGCTGTAGAAATGCGGTCATTAAGGAGTGTGTTAGGGCTGAATCTGAATAACAGGGTGAGAAATTGTGTGATAAAAGAAGTGTTCAGTAATAAACCGCAACTCACAAAATTTATACCGAGGCACAATGATCTGCTGCGATCGGAGCGCCGGTCACACCTAGTGGCAACATTGCGACGTAATATGCGTTGTAATAATCTGTGGAGTTAAAAAAAGGAGAAGAGGAGGGTAGGAGGCGAGACAAGCCAGACACATTCTCTTTGTGTTCGTGATGTGAACATCTCTCCAAAAACTTAAAAAAAGGGACTACTCCAGAGTGTACCGTGTACAATCTAATTGCTAGTGTATTCTACCGTGTAGAAGAAGCTACCAGGAGCTGTCAACGTTTGCTGATCTTGGGAGGCTGGCTAGTAAGACCGTGAGTAGTTTGTTGCTGTTTTTGGTGTGATTTTGTGACTGCGGTAACTGAACGTTTCAGGGGATTTAGATTCTCAATACAGTCCACTATATCTAGTAAAATAATCCCAATCCGCCACATTTCTGGCCTTCGAGCCGCATATATTCGAATTAGTGATCTTCGAATAATAATTTTCTACCCTTAATTCGCGTCCCGTGGACGTCATATATTTGAGTAAAACTACGCATTTAATTAATTTAATATCCCTTATTTAATTTGCCTCTTTTTTACCTGGATGTCCATTGCTCGCGGTGCGTTTATAAAGTATTAATTTTGTAATTTGTTCATAATGTCGGATAAATTACAAATAAAAAGGCAAACACTTATTTTTAAAAAGGAATACCTATTTGCTAAATTACAAAAGGTTTTCGATATCGCGAGATCCCAAATAAATGATCCCACACAAATTCAGAATTTCTTAGCCGATTATTCCGAATTAGAAAGTGTCCGCTCAAAGTTTGAAGAAACAGTGTTAAATATTATTGAAATAGATATATCATTAAAACCGGAGACAAGATTGTCAACGCGAGAATTAGATACATTTGATGAACTTTATAAGGCATGTAGGTTGCAATATTTAAGATTAAAACCGGACGAGCAGGCATCCCTCAGTAGGAAAGATAGGAGTGATGTAAGGCCGTCATTACCTAAATTACGTTTATTTGAATTCGATGGTGATATTGAGAAGTGGACCACATTCTACGATACATTTGTATCACTTGTCCACAATCGAGATTTCGACGAAATAGATAAGTTTCACTATTTGCTTTCATGTGTTAAAGGTTCGGCATTAAACATTGTTAAAAAATTGCCCATAACAGCCGCTAATTATACTGTCGTATGGCAAAGTTTATGTAATAAATATCAAGATGATCGAATACTCGTGGGTAGGTACATCGATAAAATGATAAACTTTACGCCGTTAAATAAAGATACTACCGCAAATCTTACTTTATTTATCGAAACATTCGATCACTCTTTTAAAGCCATCGAGGCATTAAAAATTAAAAATTTACATGACTATTTATTTTGTCATTTAGCCTTACGTGGGTTGGATGCGCATACTAGGAGGCTTTTTGAAGAAAATCGGGATCAAAATTCACTTCCATCTTTTTCGGAATTAATTAGTTTTGTAAATAAACAAGTTAAAGTACTCGAACATTCATCGAATAGTACGATGTCGTTACAATCAAGAAATAAGTCTATATGTAACAATTACAAAGGCAACAATAATAACCACTACAAAAGTTATTCAAAGACAGTTTTAAATACTAATGTGTCGAATTATAATAAAAATAAAAAAATAATTTGCGCGCATTGCAATCAAAATCACATGATTTATAGGTGCGATCAATTTCGTAAATTGACCGTAGATAAAAGGATTGACCGTGTCAATACCTTAAAATTGTGTCATAATTGCCTAAAAGGAAATCATGATACCTCAACTTGTAAAAG